AGGCTGGCCTGGTTTTGTGGGACCCAGCAGCTGCCCTGGCAACTTCAACCTGCTGGAAAACAAATATGGGGCTTGGGCCCCCTCCTGCCCTGGCACGGGATCAACGCTGAAAGTGCTCTTATTATTTTGTATTAATATATATATATATATATATATATTGCTTGTTGAAACAAAAATAGCTCGAAATTATACATATGGAATACTTTCGGTATATTTTTATGTGCACTTTAAAAGGAACCTGATCGTTTAAGCTTTTAATCCAGTGATACTTCTTTTATATTAAAAGAGATTTCATGTTCGAATTTCTATTCTCAATAATTAAAAAAAATAAAAAAAATAAACTTCTACTTTTTATGTATGATTGCATGAAAGAGTATAGCAAGCTTTATTTTGAGTGCATATATCATATATATCTAATTGTTAAAAACATATTTTTGCAGCAATTTAAGTTTTGTTCCCTCTTACGTTTTGTTTGTTTTAATTTTGCTTTGTCTTTCCTTTTATTAAAAAAATGAGAAGTAAAATAATAATAATAAAATACTATACTAGGGTAGGCTCTAAATAAGATAACATATCCCTTAATGATATGCGAAAATGATCGTGACTGCTGACAGATCTTCTTACAAGCAATTAAATTTTAAGTAAATTTAGGTTTTAGCCATAAAAAAACTTTCACTTTTGGAAAAAGCCAAAGCTTTTTCAAAAAAGACAGAAAAACCTCTCAACTTTCAAGTCAAAGACATGCAAATGTAAATGATTCCTTAGGAAATCTAAAAATAAATAAGGGCAATTTTGTCCATTTTGACTTCTTTTAAAAAATTTCTCTCTCCTTTTGCTTTTTCCAAAGCCTCCCTAAATTTTAATAGCTAATCAAGGATAGGACATAAGTTTTGAATCTGTCGACAAGCAAATAAAATAAGGACATAGAATTGGTCCAGTAATTGCCGGCAGGCAGAGGAGATGCGATTTAAAATATGTGCCTCGGAACTTTGATTTGGAGACTTGTGCTTGATAAATTATATATTATTGTAATATGTAATTATATTTTATCCAGCTCTTGCTTGAAAGTTACATTGTTTATTGGGGAGACCACTGTTTGTCCTTTGCAAACGGATTTTATTAGTATATTCTTTATATATCTAAAGGCTAAATATAGATGATTGGTTATAATAGTCGTAAAATTTTATATTCTTTCAATATATACCTACAAAGGTTGTGAATCAGTGGAAAATGACTTTAATTAACATATCAGTGGTTTCGTGTTTGAACTTTGTGGCATCTTTGTAATGCGTGTGAAAAACTGTTCTTCCCCTCTTTGTAGTTTGGGTTATGGCTTATATTTTAAAAAAAATTTAGCCTATTTCTCATTTGATGGGACATGAAAAGGGTACTTGAGTTTGAGCTAGAAATAGGCTGTAGGCTGTCTTGTCGTGATTGGCCCAAAAGCATATGGTCGCAATTATGGCCCATTTCTCCCTTCGACCGAGATGAACAAGTTTAGGAGACAATAAGTTTCAGCTCACCCGGTCCAACCAGTAGCTGCTTGCATCCGCCCTTACACGAGTTCTAGCTCCTCAACGTGTCCGGCGGTGCTTGGTAGCACCCGACGGTGACAATCAAATTATAATGCATGATATGAGTCTGATACATGATCTTTCACTCTCTTGTTGACGAATGCACGTGATGTCATGTGATGATCTAGAATTGTCAAATTCAAGAAATATGAAAAATACAGTAAACATGATATTTGCACTCTCAAGTTAGTTAGATTATATGGTGAGAAGAGGCTGCCCAAGTCCACTCATACTCATTAAAAAAGCAGAGAGGCTAGAATGAGGGATTACTTAATACTCGTTCGATCAAGTGCATAGTTATTATTGGATTGAACTCCTTCAACATAGCCCTTCATTATAGAAGCTCCATCTAAGTCCAAGCTCATACTTCTCATGGCACATTGGGTTTCTTGACCTTTTAAGTGCGCCAAACAAGGTGCACAAACCATGGGATTTTGCAACAGCTGGAAGAAAGTCTACCCAAAAACTCTCAGTTGGTGATATGGGCCATTTTAAAAATCAAATCAAGTCAAGTCGGGCCTTCCATAGCTAACAAAATGTACTTCAAACTGAACCCAATCACGCCTGAGGGGCTTCAGATGAATCCAGACTGAACAGATTATCAAATCCCAACTTTCAAAATTTGTTCATAAAAAATACAAAACAGTCAGTCCAAGTGACAACTGGTTTAGAGATCCAAGTTTCTTGAAAGCAAGCAGGGACAGCAGAAATCCATGTCAGAAAGGAGCAGGAAGCCTTGTTATCCCATTTTAGAAGCCTTAGATACTACGAATATGACCATATGATTATTATTCTAACCAGCTCAGAAACAGGAGGCGGCCGATTGGTAATAGCAATCTGCCTTCTTTTTTTCTTTAAATTATTGCCAACTATCACGTATCAGTGGGAGATAATAATAAAAAGTTTGTCACACTTTTATTCAAATCAAATCAAAATAGTAGTTTACAAATTACGATGGAATAAGCTCATTTTACGTCATCTATATATTACTATATAAAAGTCAAGTTGGTTAGAGTAAATGTGCTCCTCATCTACACCTGTGTTCGAATTCCTTATCTATAATTTAGGAGAGTGCATAGAATTAAAAGCAAAGACGTCTTGTAAAAACTTACAAGGAATTGAATCACTTACCTCGTTCCTAATTGATCTTATTCTTAATTGATTTTGTGTTGAATGCTGACATTTTAATGGTTTCTTTGTTTGTGTATTTTTCTAAACAATGCAGATATGAAGACTGCTTCTGGTGAAGGCAAATCAAGTTATAAACAATGCTCGGAATATACTAAATATTTTGTAAAGAACCAAGTTGCCAAGTTGGTGTTGTTTAATTCGAAAGAAAGTTGTAGATTTGTTTTTTTGTTTAATTCGAAACATCTAGATTCAGTTGATGCAATCCAAGGCCGGCACGAAAGTCCAACACTTTATCCGAACAACAAATTTCAACATTCAGACCCCCTGGCGAAGACACTGTTTCAATGGAACGAATACAACGCCATGTACCAACTTCAACTTGCATTATATTATAGAATTCAGACGCATCATTCTTAAAAGAGATCAGCTATTTTGACTGACCTGTTGCTCTCCAAGAGACAACCTCCGCTGCCTAATAAATAATCTTGTCAGAAACTCAGAAAACATCAGATTGGTTGGATGGAGCTACCTAGGGCCCTCTGTACGCACTGGATGGATGCATTTGGTTTCCAAAATGTAATTAATTCATTTACAATTTGAGTTTTGAACTGAAATAGTTGGGATGTGTGTAATTTCAATTACATTCAAGTGCTCCATGAAAATGATTATGAAGAAGAAAGTAACGGATTGGATTAAAGTGCGTTAGGTCAATGTTAAAGATAATTGTCCGTTGTTGATTTGTACGAACTTTGTGTTGAGATTTCAGATACATTAATTGAGACTTGTCCGACTCGTGACAAAGTTAAGTGCATGCATGGTAGGTTATATGGGTTGAATACATCGTTGAGAGTAAGATGGCTACGCCTATGATCCATCATGTATAATGTTGACAAAGATTCAATTCCACTTTCCAAGAAATGTATGTTTGAAGTTGATAGGCAGAAAGAAAAGGATGGCAAAACCGAAGAATTTTTGTGAAGGGATATTGACGTCAACTATTTGGAATATAATCATTGACGAGAAGAAATGGCTGTCAACGTAGAAAACCCGGGATGTCTAACACAGTAAAATGGTCTTAATGAGATGCATATTTAACTGAACAGATGGAGCTTTCCTCTACGTGAGAGGAGGCGCAAACGTGAGAAATGAGGGTGACGGTGCAGAGCCATGAGCGAGGAAGGGGGAGAGAGAGAGAGAGGCATGAGTTTTTGGTATTTTAACATATCGGTTGGAGATGCTCTTATAAAGATATTTCCCTCTATTAAGTCAAATTAATAAGCCCATTAAATGGGAATTTAATTGGCACAATCAATTCAAGATGTCCTAGAAAATATTTCATCTTCCACATGGCATCACCTAAGTGGCTGTGGAAAATATGTGTTTCCACAAAACCCAAATGCCAAATTTATTCCACAATAAAATAATATCAAACCCAACTTGTTGGGTGGGGTATATCCGGAGGGAGGAAGATAAGAGAAAGGGTCCACTTTGACATGATCGAAATTTAAACATAAAGAGTCCATGTACGTACTTGGTTCATGCATGGCTAGCTTTTTTCTTGGAAATAAATAGGTATCCAACAGAAAAAGTCTGCAAAGCACAACTTGACCCATACTCTTCCATTTACTTTATGGCCTCAAAATATCCTATTCCATTTCCGCATGAAATAAAACCGTATTAAATAAAAATAATCCCAGCTTTTCACTTTTCAGATCTCAAATAAGTATTTACAGCTTAAAGAAAGGAAACACTGCATCCTCTCCGACCCTCAGCAACTACTTGTTAACTAACATACTGAACTGTCCAATTACCGTGCCTCGCTGGATTAACAAAACCAAATCTTTTTTTTTTTTCCTTTTATCTGACCAACTTGAATTATTAATCATGTTTTATATCAAGGTTCTACTACCTCGTTGCTCCATGTTTACAATAACGTCTACATGATAATAATATCCGGACGTTCAGACAATGAATTAACACTAGTTCAGCTCAGCGCTGACGATAATTCATGGTAGACAATGTCCTTTCATATTTCGAAGTGATTACACAATGTCATGTAAAATATCCAGTACCGCATTTTCTTTTTTCCAAAGAATTAATGTGTATTTATATTGGTTATGATTTCTTTTTCAGGACTTGAATTTCAGACAAGTATAATAAAAATATTTCCCAGTGTTGCGAATTAAAGAGAACAATTTTCTGACAACAAATACTATAGTTTATATTAATTGTGATGTCTTTTTTCTTGACTTCAACCAACTGCTTCACCTACAAAGAAATAACTGCTAATTTTGATTGCCAAATAGTAACTCAACTCTACTCAATTTCTGCAGATATTTCTTATTGCTCTACAGTATATGATTTTCCAACAAACTTTCCTTTGGAATTTTTGTGTTCTTTTAATATAGAAGGATGTCTTGAAGACAGTTTCCATTACCTGTGATCAAATCTGAAACTATCTATGTAACTATAACAAGCTCAACCGCACAAGAGAGAAAAAGGAACTGCTAATCTTGTAAACCAGTCTGACTGAGAATGTTGTGGAGCTTGCTACTTGGAAGCAAATTACAGCTTATGTCATCCCGTTGTTTGCCTGCTGCAAGACTCGTCGTAGCTCATTGGCAATCCCTTGCAACAACACTGGTTTTCGGATAACTCCGTTGATGCCACTCTGCATACATCGATCCCAAACATCTTCATCGGCACTAGCGGTTACGCCAATAATCAATGGCCACGTTCGGCTTCGAAATTTTCTAATTCTCAATGCAACTTCAAAACCATCCAACTCGGGCATGTGAAGATCCAGAAAAACAATTTGGATAGAGGTTCCGGCAGGACCAATAGTAGAAAGGCATTCTAATCCAGATGAAACAGAAGTTACAATGCAGCCTAGCTTCTCAAGCAGTCTCCGCGTCACAGCCCTGTTTACATCATCATCATCAGTTAATAAAACTTGCAAGCCCCTGAAAATAGAATTCGAATGTGGGTGCTCTGATGATTCTCCAGGTTCAGAGATGGCTATTGCAACGGATGGTCGAAGTTGAAACCGAAGAACGAGTGCCATGCTTTGAGCAAATCCTTGAGGGTTAGGGACTGCCCATATATTTCCTTGCATCAACTGCCAATAAAAAGTTATTTAGAAATACTTTAGTTAAAAGTGAAAATATCAAACAAGCGACTGACAACTAAGGAACACCAAGAAATAGCCCTTCCTCCCATGAAATGTAAAACTAGCAGATATATATAAAGGTCTTGAAAATCTGAACGAAACAATCCATCTCAAAATAACTTAATCATGTATTAATGCCAGTAAAGTAGTGACAATTTGAGAGAAACTATCATGTTTATCTTCGTAACTTGGAGACTATACTTGTATACTAAACCACCATGCTTTGAAACTAAGTTCTTCACAAAAATATGCTTAAAATGAGCTATTAATAAGATACATCAGCAAACTGATCAATGCCAACACCAACTCCTCCAAGCTAGAGACATGCAGATAAAAAAAACCATCGGGTATTCAATCAAGCAGGTAAACTAGATGTATTTCAACAACCAGATATGGCAGCAGGAAATTTTTTTCCCTTCTATCCAACCTTACCTATCAAAGGGTGAGGTCACTACACATTCTACTGCAATAAAAATAAAGTTAACATCTTTGGTTATCAAGAAAAGGAAAACTGTTATATCCTGCGAGAAACTAGTGCAAAAACTTTCCTCATGCAGATTCTAGCTTCACAAACATCTTTCTGCTTTTAAGTTTCCTAACATAAAAAGGAAGCAGAGTCTAACTCTAAAACTTTTAATGTGCATTCCTTCATTAGTCAAAAGAATCTAACATATGTCCACGCACACACAAAAACACACAAAGACAAAGTTCAGCACCCTCACCTGCACTAGCTTTTTGCAAATGGTGAAGCTCAAGCCCTCATCTATTCCCTCACTGACGTATCTCCTACCAACAAGCTGCACCGCTGGAATAGTGCCCTCTGACTGAGAACCACTATTGGTCATCGCAATCTCAAATCTAATATATACATCACCATCAGATGAGTTATGTCTCCAGGCTGCCCATCTTTGATCATTCCTTCCCTGACTTCCATTATCCGAAGCAACCCGAAATGCGACCAACCCTCCCCCCTTATATCCATTTAACAGGCTTCCCACCATATGCAAAATCACCTGAAACACCCTTCTTTCATCCCCCATGACATGATCAGGTAAGGACTTCTCCACATCAATTGCAAATCCAAAGCCCTTGTACACACACAAGCATTTGGCAAGGCAAGCTGCTTCCTTTATCAATGCATGTAACCGAAAAGATCTCATCTCCAATGGAAATCTTCCACTATCCTTTGCAGAATTATCCATCACATCATTTATCAAGGTTGATAGGACATTGCTCGTCCTCACCATTGCATCAATAATAACTCGTTGATCATTATTCAAATTCTCATCCTGCATCATTGAAAGCAATCCCAAAATTGAGTGCATTGGCCTCCTCATCCCATCACTCATTACCTTTTGGAATGAGTTTCTTGCGTGGCTTGCCATCATAGCATTCATCTTTGCCTGTTGCAGGGCTCGATTTTGCTCGGCCAACTTCTCCCTCATGAGTTGTGACTCTTCAAGGACTGCAGCATGGGATAAAGCAACGGCCACTTGATCAGCAACTACCTTAATTATCTCAAGGTCCTGGCTGCTCCAAGATCTAGGATGTCCACCAGGAAGGACCAAAACCAATATCGCATAACAAGTCTGGATCAACTCTGGAGTTCCTCCTTTGAAATTGGAAACCCGAAGCATTGGCATCCGAATTGCAGCTACTGGTCCCGGCTCACCTGAGTCATCACTGGCATGAACAAGTGCTGAGTCAGGCCTAAGGATGTTCACCCCATCACTCCCCTTGATATGTACAACATCTGAATCATTTATCGGAATAGAAAAGTTGTACATATGAGAATAATTCCTCCCTTTCAACTCATGGATCAGGATCATCTCTGTTTTATTTTCATTAGGCATCCAAACTGCACAGTACTGCAAACCCAATGTCTCAGATAGCTCAAAAAGTGTTGTTGACAGAATTGTATGCCTATCAAGCGACTTGCGAATCTCTTGGGTAAGCATCCGAACATGCATTCCAGCTTCTTTCTGTCTCATTATAATTCCAACCTCTCTCCCAAGATCCCGAGTCTTCTTCTTCAACATAAACTCCCTCACTTTCACTTTGAGAAGCAAAGGGATGAGAGTGATGAGTGTTATTGCAGTGGCACAAGAGACCAGAGCAGTAAGAATTTTGAAAACTGTGAGAGCCAGCATAAGCTGGAACGGGTGAGGGCCATAAGTCCAGCCATTGAGTAAATGTGTCAATCCACATAGCACAATGAAGGCAATGAACTCAAAGAGGACCCATTTGAAAGGCACATTTGAGCAGCTGACAAAGTAAAGCAGCTCAATGGGGATGGAAAAGTAGGCCACGGCAATTAAGAAATCGCTCACTCGCTGACATTCTAGTATGCTCTCAATGCTCCACAAGCTGTTATCATCGTCACAATTGCACCGTGGAAATCCGTTATCAGAGGCGGAAACACAAACGAGGAGCAACAAAATTGATAGCCCAGATGCTAATGCTTTTAACATTGCATCCAAACAACTGCTTCTTCAATCCATGTATCAGTAAAGACAGATCAACGTTTTGAACTAAATTGGCCTTGGACTACAATCATAAAACCACAACCTCTAATTTCCATTTCCTGTAAACACAATAAAAGAGCACAAACAAAAGCCCCCCCATTAACAACTAGAAGGAATTTTATACAAACAAACGTGAGATCTAACACACACAAAACTAAATCCTGTCTAAATTTTATGCTATGAATTGATGAATGGCACAGTGATTAAGAACACATAATTTTCCTCAATTAGAAGACAATAACCCAGATACAAAGAATGTTATGCCAAAACAGAAACCCATGAAAAGGAAAGAAAATAAACTCAGAAGCAAAGAAACCGTTTTTATTAATATAAGCCCACCAAACCAAACCAAAAAATAAAAATAAAGATAAATGCAGGCCAAGTAGAAAACGTACCTGTATCGCCAAGCGTCGCCAAAACCCAGATTCCAATTGAACCACCTACAGATCTTAGCCTTATAGCACATGCAGGAGAGCACCTTCCCAGCCTTCAGCAACGACGCAATCTCATAAAAAGACAAACACACAGAGACACCAAAATCTCCCGCTGCCCATTTATAGTAATAACAAGCAGCTAGCAGCAGCTACAAGCCTCCTCCCCAACGGAGAAAAAAACCCAGTGACAAATCCCAATAAAAATTGCAAACCCAAGAAGAAGAAAGATTTTATTTTTTGCAAGTGAAAAAGTTTTATAAAACAATTAAACCCAGTTTTCTGAAACACTAAACCGGCCACCTCGCGCCGTGTAAACCGCTGGTGGGCACTAAAAACTTGAGCTTGAGAGTTGAGAAGGCGGTGTGTGATTCGGTGGAAAGCACAAAACCAAAAACCAGGTTGCCTCTCTCTCTCTCTCTCTCTCTCTCTCTCTCTCTCTCTCTATGTCTCCCTCTCTTGTTTTCCCAGTCTTCAGCTCCCTTTATAGCAACAAAGAAAAGAAAAATTAAAAACAAAAACCCATAAATCTCTTCCTCTCTTTTCTTTATGTGTTTTCAAATTTGGACCAAAATAAAATTAAAAAGGAAGGATTTTTTTGGAGAGAGAGAGAGGGAATATTGTTTGCGCTTTGCGCCGTTGTTTCGTAGGAAGAGCAGGAAAAAAATATTAAAGAAAAAGGAAAGAGAAGGAAAGAGGTGGGGCCCACCCTTGTTACATGAAGAGAACTTGGACGCTCTTTGGCACAAAACGTCATCGTCACACCCAAAAACATTTGTATTTTTTTTTCATTTCTGTATCTCCAAAACAAAAACAAAGATCAACACCCCAAAAAAAAAAAAAAAAAACCCCCCAAAAAAAAAAAAAAAAAAAAAAAAGAGTCCACGTGGCAGCCATGGAGGCCTACCTGAACTTTACCAGCTTTCGTTACAAGCGCGTTCCATTCACACGCATTTGCATTTTGCATTTTGCATTAATTATAGGCACTTTTATCATTAACGTCCATGTGTTGTTTTCAATTTAAGCAATATAAGAACAATCTTTTATTTCTGTAAAATTAAAGTAACTTCGTTACTTGTTGAGGGGCATTTCGGTCCAAAAACAAGAAAGACAAAAAAAGACGCACCAAAAAAAAAAAGGAAAGAGAAGCCCTCAGCACAGCCCACACGCCAACCTACACACTCGGCCGCATCTCCCCAACCCAGTACAACTCCACCACTTCAATGTGGCTAGGACTACAGATTTTCCAAGTCTCGAGTCCGCACGGTATCTGAAGGGTTTATCTCAACGAGAGCTGATGGCCATCCAAACCATTTGTTAGATGAGTTGGGTCCATACCAAATGGTTTACTGGAACCCTTGCAGAAACCATGGCAGCAACGACCCACTGGGGAAACCAACTGCCCATTGATAAAGTCGAAAAAATGAGAAGAGATTCAAGATCAAGGTGGTGGGGTTACTGGCTGGGGAGATTTTGGGGGGGGAGTGGGGTGGCTGGGACGCCGCACAAGCAAATAAGGGTTCAAACGAAAACCTTGAGTAACAAGGAAACTGGAATCCACCAGAAATTAAGAGAAACTCTCTTTGATTAATTTGATTAAAATCTGAACTGCCAAAAAACGTTAGACGAACCCGTCTAAATACACAACTCTCAACCCTTGTAACTGCTAGGGGAGTTATTACAAATAAAACTGAACAACAGAATTAATTCGGAGACTTAACTACGTAACTCCGAAACTGAAAAAAACAGAATTTATTTTGGGAATTAACTATGTAACTCCGAAACGGAAAAACATAATTATTTTGGGAATTAACTATGTAACTCCGAAACGGAAAAACAGAATTTATTTGGAATTAACTTCGAACTTCGAATGCAGTTTTGAAAGGCCAAACGACTCACCACGTCCCTTTTCTTGCTCAACCGCGATTAAATCTGCCATCTGTTCTACATCAGTCCTCTCCACCTCCGAAGAACTCGACCCCGAGTTATGATCTGGATAAAGAACCTCATCTTCACGGAACTCATATAAATCTGCAACATTAAAAATATTGGAAATTCCCATGGAATCCGGTAACTCAATAACATAGGCATTATCATTGATCCGTTTGAGCACTTTGTAAGGACCATATTTCTTCGGTTTAAGCTTGCTGTAAGTGCCAACTGGAAACCTCTCCTTCCTCAGAAATATCATCACAGAATCGCCTTCTTGA